GCATCTAGCATACAACCTTTCGATTGCATCTCAAATATGTAACCCAGAATATAAAAACATGTAGGCCTGGCGTGGTGGCGCATGCCTGTAATTCCAGCACTTTGGGAGGCTGAGGCGGGTAGATCACCTGAGGTCGGGGATTCACGACCAGCCTGACCAACAAGGAAAAAACCCATATCTACTAAAATACAAAATTAGCTGGGTGTGGTGGTGCATGCCTGTAACAGCTACTTGGGAGGCTGAGGCAGGAAAATCGCTTGAACCCGGGAGTCGGATGTTGCGGTGAGCCGAGATCACACCATTGCACTCCAGCCTGGGCAATAAGAGTGAAAAAAAAGAAAAAAAGAAAACAAAAGAAAATCATGTTTGCATAAAAGCCTGTGCAGAAATGTTTATAGCAACTTCCTTTGTAATAACCCAAACCTGGAAACAACCCAGATCTCGGCGAACCGGTGGTGAACAGCTAAACACACTGTGGTACATCCACACCATGGAACACCACTCAGCAATGCAAAGGAACCAGCTGTTGTTACAAGCAACACCTTGAATGGATCTCCAGGGAATTCTGCTGCGAGAACAAAGCCAGCCCCAAAAGGTTACATACTATATGATTCCATAAATCTTGATAGATACAATAGAAGTTACAGAAAATGATAGAAATGAATAACCAATTACTGGTTGTCAGAGAGGCTGGGGTGGGAAGGCTGTAAAGGGCCAGATTAAAGATTCTTTGGGGCCGGGCGCAGTGGCTCATGCCTGTAATCCCAGCACTTTCGGAGGCCGAGGTGGGTGGATCACAATGTCAAGAGATTGAGAGCATCCTGGCCAACATGGTGAAACTCCATCTCTCCTAAAAATACAAAAATTAGCTGGGCATGGTGGCTTGTGCCTGTAGTCCCGGCTACTAGGGAGGCTGAGGCAGGAGAATTGATTGAACCCGGGAGGCAAAAGTTGCAGTGAATCAATATTGAACCACGGCACTCTAGCCTGGTGACAGAGTGAGACTCCATTTCAAAAAA